ACCAAGGGTATTTTTTTTAATCTATCAAATCATATTCATTCACACATGCATTTTTAACTTGACTTATTCATTCAACACAACAAAGATGGTGACATAACGAAAAGCTGGACAGAATACATACATTCTGGAAGAGCTCTTTTATCATACTTTTGGAGGAACTTTTTTGTTAATATTAAAAGTTTTTTATGCAGCTCTCAAGTGGAGGTTGGAAAAGGAAATCATACTTTATTTTGGCTGGACAAATGGTTAGGATCATTTACTCTTGCATCTTTATTTCCATCCTTAGTTGTTATAACTGTGTATCCTTTTGCTGCTGTTAATAGCATGAGAAAGAAAGAGAATAATATGTGGAGATGGAATATTCAGTTTAAGAAGCAGTTAGTTGGGGTTCTTGTTTCCCAATAATGTTCTATGATGAGTTTAATAAATTCCATCTGTCTAGAGAAAAGGGAGGATAAAAGAAAATGGTTGTGGGAGACAAGAGGGAGTTTCACAGTGAAATCTTTCTATCAATTTTTAATTGATGGGGGTGTAAGATATGTGGGAGACAAGAGGGAGTTTCACAGTGAAATCTTTCTATCAATTTTTAATTGATGGGGGTGTAAGATATGATTGTGCAAATTTATGGCAGCTTCCTGAAATCTTTCTATCAATTTTTAATTGATGGGGGTGTAAGATATGATTGTGCAAATTTATGGCAGCTTCCTATTCCTTTAAGAGTGAAATTCCTACTCTGGTTGGCTCTAAGACAGTTTGAATACAAAAGATGTTCTAGAAAAGAAAGGAGTTCTTTTGGATAAAACTTGCTGTTTATGTTCTAAATTGGAGGAGAATCACACACATTTGTTCATAAAATGTGAGTTTGTTTACTCAGTATGGAGATCAATTCAATTCAAATTGGAGATTGAGGAAAATTTTAGTTTGGATTCTTTGAAAGAAATTTGGCTTAAATGGAAAACTGGTGATGTTGAGAACTGTAATTTGAAAAGGGATGTGCTCATCTGTTCTTTAGTTTGATGTATATGGCAGAAACATAATGATAGAATCTTTTCTAATAAAAGGAAGAAGACCCTTGAGCTTTTGAACAAAATTATGACCTTCGCAACATTTTGGCTAGGTTCTGAAAAGGCTTCTGCTCGAGCTGCCAGATTACAGGAAAGGAGGAGAAAGAGGAATGCTGATGGATTTCAAGCTGCTGGAGCGGTCAGAAGAAAGGACAGAGGTGTGGAGAGTATGGTGATTCAGCTAGAATGAGTTACAAATGGTTCAGTAGTGATGTTTTTTGTTTTTTATCCTTTAGAACTCTGCTCCATTGTGAACTGCTCTGCTTTCGGTTTTTGTTTGATCTTATTATGATCTTTCTCTTGTTGGAGATCCATGGTTATGTGCAGAGGGGTGTTGTTTGTCATTCTTTGTAGCTTCTAATATGGACTATAATACTCACTCTTGGTTGGGGATATGTATTTTTATGTAACAACCATTTTTTATTAATTTAGCTAGCTGGATTACCTTTGTGGTAGTCCATCTTTTTTCTAAAAAAAAAAGATAGTGACATAACAGAGGACCTCTGATTGCAATAAGAAGTTGCCCGTTCACAGTAAAAACAGTGCTTTCATTCAGCTAAAATCCCCCCCACCTCCCCCCCCCCCCCCCCTCTAGTACCAGAAAATCTGCAACAAAAAAACATGGAAAAGATCGATTAAAGGACCTGCGAAATTTCAAACTCCTGCAATTGTAAGAAAAGAGCCATCCTCAAAATAAGGGCTCTTAGTTTTCAGCCTTGTTAGTTAGCTAGAAACGACAAAATGTCTTGAATTTGACCAAAATCCCTTCTTCGTTAAATTTTCATATCTTTTGATGTAAGCACTTTTAAGAACTGAGTTTGCTGACGGAATTGATGGAATCAGATCTGATCCTGAACTTCATTGAAATTGTGTAGCATATCCTCGTGTTGATGCTGAGCTAATGGTGTGTCTGGCACCTCTTCTATGCTCTCTGATGGCTGACAAAAGATATAAGATGTTGCTTTGCTTAGACCAATCTTTTACTCTTTCGAGATAGAAATGGGTTAGTTGCAAATACATCACATGTACTATTGGGATTTAGCCACTTATGCCCCTACAAGAAGACATTATTTCTCGGTTAGGTCTGAAATGTCACGTGGGAATTACATGACAAATATCCTCAGTTGAAGTTTAAAAAAAATAAATTGCGCTCATACTTTAGAGGCCAAAGGCTAATTTCATGTGAATCCCACGTGACATCTAAATATTGTATGCTGTTTAAGGGGTAGGGGTATAAATGCTAATAAAATACTTTAGGGAGTGTAGATGACTACACAGAGGATGTATATGCGATTAACCCTAAAAGAATGGAAGCGAATGAGAATATGCGGAGATGGTACAATGCTAGCAGGTTACCTGAAAAAATTGTAACAGATGCCACAGAAGATAATTGATGATCATGACCAGGCAAAACAACTTGCCAGCCCAGGCCCCGCATCTAAGGTATCTACAAAAGAAAAATGAAGTAGAAAATGACAATTAGATAGTGTTTCGGTTCTATAGACTTGAGGAACCCACCACTAGAGATGAACGTTGTTTGACTGACAGCACCAGGGTTTTATAAAATTAATACTTAGAAGATTATTCATTTTACAAGTATATAGAAAATTATTAGAGCAAAGAAAAAAATATTTAATTTTTCTATAGAACAGTATGATTTAACATTGGACTAATTTCATAAGACACCCCAAATTCTTCCCGAACTTTTATCACTGTCCCCCTACTAGTAATTTGCAAATAAACAAAATTTCCTCGAGACAGAAAAGAACCCAATTTTGAGTGAGTTATTATTATTACTATTTGTGGATTTTTTTTTTTTTTTGTTTACAAATGACAGAAGTTGGGATTTTTTTTCCCTCAAGGAGAATTTAGTTATTTGCAAAATACAGGGAGGGGGTCCAGTAAAATGAGGTTAAAGTTCAGGGGGTTTTTTTGAGACACCCCAAAGTTCAAGGATTATGTGAGACAAACAAAGTTCAGGGTAATGTGAAAACCCCTATGTTCATGGGGTTATGTGAAATTAACCTTTTCTTCTCCTGCTGACCGTGTTGTTCCAAAAGCAATTTCTTATGTTGAACTGCTCTCCGCTCAGCAATGTGAACTTTAGAAACAAAATTGCATAGAGAAAAGAACAAGTTCAAGGTGAAAAATGAGAACTATATGCATAAGAAGGTACTTTTATTTTCTCCATGTACCCTGACGTAACCTCCACCCATCTTTAGGCTGGTCAATTTTTAGTAACGTTGAAAAAAATGGCTACTTCAGATAGAAAGCTCAGTCCAAATACAAAGCTTAATATTCTGCAGACTGGCAACTCTTTTGTTAAGTCAGTATGCTTAAGAAATAAATTCGTAGTGTGTTATGTCAACAATTACTATCAAGCATACTCCACTCAGGGATCACATGATAAGCAGTAGCAATAGCCCTTTCCCGCTAACAGTAATTTGGAACGTGGAGCTAGGCGCTTGTTTTTTTTTAATATAGGTGAATGTCCATATCTTGTGGAAGTCAATCCCATAACTGGCATTTTGAGTTTGTTCATAAGCATGATGGGTGATTCTTATTCTTCATCAAAGTGCCATCTCAAAATCTTTATCCAGGGCTAAAACATCAAATTAAGACAGAAAGAGAGCAAAGGATACAAATGCACAGAATCTTAGAAGTCACTACAAAACTAGATAAGCTCAATTATCTGAATTTCACAACATTAGTATCTAGCTATTAATACACAGTAAAGAGTTAGAGGCAGTCTATCTACTGGCTTGAAAAAGGTGCTGAATTCTAAGTGTAGTCTCGATCATCAGTACACACAAGCATACAGAAAGGGTAAAACAGGATCGATGAATATCTAACTAAAAAGACATTTTAAAGTTCAAATCTAGAGGGGAATTCAGAAGAAAACAAAAATACCTAGGAAGACGTTGCATAAGATCCTGGTTGGAGCATTGCAATGCACGGTCATATACAACCTTCGTTCTTTTAGCAACATCTGGCCAGCTATAGAGGCTTTTCATCTGAACAAAATCCAACAAATAAGAAGACTAAATGAGCAGTAGATTCAAGCTTTACTTCTATATATAAACAGAAGAAAGAAGTTTAAATAACTAGGTCAACCAGCCAAAACTATACACAATTATCACGTCGAAGGATATGAGACTTACACGTTGGTGCATGGCTTGAGGATCGATACCAGGAAGCATGTAAATTGCTTTCTTGATGGCCAAAACCATATCATCTGGAACTGGTTTTGCAAGTACTATCATGTCATCAGGCAGAACCTGCCAGGAAATAAGGAATACAAAGCTGTAGTTTCTGAAATCTGACCAAAACACAAAAGAAATAAAAGGTTCTAAAGTGCAAACCTCTGGAACACCTCCAACTCTTGTGCTCACAGTCAGTAATCCACAGCTAGCAGCTTCCAAAATGGCTATACAAAAAGCTTCTGTAAGAGAACTGAAAAGGACCATTCTTTAGATCACATCAACAAACATAGTAGGAGATACTATTGGATTGTACCCCAAAAATGAGGAAAATAAAAAGATAACAATGTACGATTGATGTCTTAACTCTTCAAACAAACATGTTATGCTCTGAACAGCAGCGAGATGAACAAACTGTAAATTGTTTATCACACAACACTATTATTTGCAGGTTTAGATATAACATGCACATGTTCCGAGAAACCTGGATTATTACTATGCATGTCTATGTCATATGAGAACTTTCGAAACCAGCATTATGAAATCTCTTTTTGTGAAAAAGCAGCTGCTCTGTTGAGACCAATAGTGACAGCCTGACTTCAGTCCAAGTGTTACTATAGACAGTTTGACATTCTTAACACATAAAATATGAATAGAAGAAAGTAATGAAATGCTTATGTATTTACTCGTACGCTATCTTCAAGTTAAAGCTTTGTTCCTTGATAAGCCAGGAATAACAAAGGTTTAAAGAATCATCTGAGCATCTCCCAATTAAAGCAAGTTTTGTAGCAAACATACATATATGCAAACCAGGAAACAGAATAGTCCTTAAAATAGGAGACTACTAAGGCTTGATACTGCTCCTCTTCTACCTCTTACAGTTTTTTCTAAATTCTCTACATTCAACTACTATTTAAATTTTCCTAGCAAGTTTTATTACTTGAGTAGTTGCTTTGAGTAACATATTATTCACAGTACGCGCTTTAAAGGCAGCAAGCTGCACGGCTAGGTCAATTAAATCATAGCTCACGTGAATTCAAAGAAAGCATTTCCATATTCATGTCCATATAACATTCAACATAAACAGAGTGAAGAAATAAGCGATGCCACTCAGAAGTACGGAGTTATCAATTATATAGCTACAACTGTGAGTTATGAGACACATATTAAGAACTAACAGAATGCTAGCACCAGGAGACAAGAATTTTTGATTATGGGAGAAGTTATGAGACATACAAGGGGATAATACCTGTTTAGAAATATATGCCCTGATACAAGCACAGATCTGACATTAGCATGCGGAACTGCACCTAACATATCCACTCTGTCCTGGAGAGAATATTTTTCCCGCATCTCCTCAAGCCTCACACGTTTCGGTCCATCTCCCCCAACTATAAAGCGGACCTTAAAAAGAGAACTACAAGAGAATAAGACTATAAAATACAAATGCAACGGGACTGTTGAAACAGATAATTTATCTGGTCTGGACTAAAGAAAAAACATGAAAAAGGTTGTCCTAAGCAATTATAAGCAAAAGTTCTGAGGAGTTTTACTAACATCAATTCTAGTTACATCTCCTTCAAACTTGCTCCATTGTGGTATAAAAAGGGGTGAAAATTGAACTGTTCAATGTCACTCACATTTGAGTATAGACGGCATACTTCTGGAATAACTTCAACAAGAAGATCTGCACCCTTCCGATAAACCAATCTACTAATCACTACTATAACAATCTCATCACAGCTGAGCCGATTAGGAGCAGGAGTAAACATGGCGGTATCAACAGCATTCGGTATTACAAAGACTTTATTTGGAGGTATTCCAGATCGAAGAACTGTATTTTCTTTGCTCGTGTGAGAAACGCATATTGCCTGATCCACATCAGCAAGAGTAAACTGCAACACCTTATTCATGTGAATGCTTCCAACATCAGCGAACCCATACAAAGAATGATCTGTGAATACAACTTTGTAACCCATGGTTCGTGCATGCAACAAGGCTTCATGACAGAGTGTTGAAAATGCTTGATGTCCGTGCACTACAGATATCCTCTCTCGAACAAGGATGGTCCTTATAATAGGAAGTGTCAAGTAGAAAGTGGGCAGTGTATTCTGCATGAGGAATGGTCTCCAAGGCAAATAATAAACTTTCAATCCTCCAGTCATGTAGCGTACTCCAGACCGATTTCCATAAGCATGTGTCATCACAACAGCCTAAGATACAATATTTTTAACTGTGTAAGGGATATGCTAAAAATCAGATTTAACTGTAGACAAAAAAACAGAGCTGAATTTGAAGGGCTATGAGACTTAAAGACACAAAAAGAAGGGCAATCAGACCTTGTGACCCAACTTGAGCAAGCATTGTGATAAGTAGTAAATGTGATTTTCCACTCCACCAAAATTTGGGTAGAAAAAATCAGAAACCATCAAGATCCTGTGCCTTCGTTGTTCATCCATTGTATATAGAAAAGCTTCTGCACAGTAAAAAAACACAAAAAAAACACTTTTTACTGTGAGAATTGGAAGGGGGTTAAGGACCACAGACGTTAAATAGAGAATTTAAAAGAAAACAATGAATTGTTTCATGAAAAAAGGTCAAATTGTACTGTAAAACTATGTAGCACGGACACGGATCTGACACGGCCATCCGACACGCCGACACGAGGCAAATCCTAAAAAATACCTATGTAGCACGGACACGGATCTGACACGGCCATCCGACACGCCGACACGAGGCAAATCCTAAAAAATACATAGGATACGTGTGTTCGACACGTGTGTCCGACACGGACACGACACGACACGGCTTCATGTTATGCGTGTCCGTGCTTCATAGCTGTAAAATAATGAAGAGTTTTTAATAAAAAATTTAAGCTCGAATTCAAGAGGGATATCAAGATTCATAAAGTTAATCATTCAGTTTCATGTGCATAATGATGTTTTTATGGTAATAATGAATTGATCTATATTTGTACAAGGGAAAGCTTATTTAATTACTTTAATTCAACATGACACATTTCAATTACTAAGCTCGTGATAAGAATGTAGCTTTAATGTGGAATAATTATAATTGAAATTCTCAATTGTGGTCTATTTTCATAGTTTTATTAAGTGTAACTTTTCAGAATAGTGATATCATAAAATGTCCTCTTTCCAGGAACATTTTGCAGTCATGAAATATAATGATGAGGTTCTAATCACCCTCCCTTATGTCGTGATTCCTCTTTTTTCATGTTGATGGGAATCATGTTTACTAATTTCAAAGCAATTATACATCCACAATTAGGCCAAGAATGGAAAAATATGAAAATTTTATCAGTTTAATGTAATTGGAGTTGCATGAAACTTAAATCATAGTAAACGACACCTTAATAGCAGCAAGAAGCATGTTTTTGCTGAGATGGTAGTACATCCTCCATCCCAAGGAAAGAAATAAAGACACTTTAATTCACAAAGAAATAAAAACAAAGTTACAATAGTGCAGTAAAAATATTGTCAGAAAATATGAAAAATATAGTTATTCTCTTATTATATTGGAGGAGGGAGTATGAATAAATTTGAATTAGTGCTACTAAGCAATTACTAGATATACATCACTTAATATAAATTAAGTAAGCTTTATTGGCGAAAGAGAATGACAACAACACTACAATTTTTACACTACTCCCACACTAACCTGATGTGGTGCTGATGTGGCAATGCTCATGTGCGCCATATTAATTTTCTATTAGCTGGAAATAGAAAGCTGATACACATTTCAATTTTCTACAAAAACTTTCCATCTTCCATTCCTTTCTCTTTCAGTCCTGTTTTTTCCCTAAAAAACTTTTCAGTTTTCTATTAGCTGATACAAATTTCTTTCCTTCCTATTTCCATATTTTCTACACGGAACAAGATCATGAGATTAAAAATCAGGAACTGTTAGTTTGTTATTTCTCCATTCGAACAAGATCATGGAAGCACAGAAATATGATTGTGAAGCATTGACGTATGATTGTTAATGATTTTGTTAAATAAACAAATAATTTGTGAAGATGAATAAAAATCTAATTTCAATAGAAAATGAGTGTAATTTCTTCCCGAACCTCACAAAGAAAGGTAAGTTTGAG